AATGGAGACTAGAGAAACAAAACCAGTGATCTTTCTCTTTGCTTTCCCTTTACAAGGTCACTTAAACCCAATGTTTCAACTTGGCAACATCTTATTCAACAGAGGCTTCTCCATCACTGTGATCCACACTGAGTTCAACTCTCCAAACTCATCCAATTTCCCTCACTTCACTTTCGTCTCCATACCCGACGGTTTATCTGAATCCGAAGCAACGAATCCCGATGTCATCGATATTCTCCATGACCTCAATTCCAAGTGTGTTGCTCCTTTTGGTGATTGCTTAAAGAAGCTCATGTCTCAAGAACCAACTTCAACTTGTGTGATTGTAGATGCTCTCTGGTACTTCACTCACGATTTAACCGAGAAATTTGGTATCCCGAGGATTGTTCTCCGGACGGTTAATCTCTCAGCTTTTGTAGCTTTCTCAAAGTTCCATGTCTTAAGAGAGAAAGGGTATCTTTCTTTACAAGGTATGTATATATATACAGATCGAAATTTGACTTTTCTTGCTTCATTTTTGTTGACTTTTCTTGTTTCTCCATTGCCAGAGTCTCAAGCAGATTCACCGGTTCCGGAGCTTCCAAATCTTAGAATGAAAGATCTTCCATGGTTCCAGACAGAGGATCCAAGAACAGGGGATAAGTTACAGAGAGGTGTGATGAAGTCACTAAAGTCTTCCTCAGGAATCATATTCAACGCAATCGAAGATCTTGAACCAGATCAGCTCGATGAATCTCTCAGAGAATTCCCGGTCCCACTCTTCTGTGTTGGACCATTTCACAGGCGCGTTTCAGCTTCGTCGAGTAGCTTACTTACGCAAGACATGACCTGTCTCTCTTGGTTAGACAAGCAAGCACCGAAATCCGTGATCTACGCAAGTCTTGGAAGCCTTGCTTTGATCGATGAATCCGAATTCTTGGAGATCGCTTGGGGTCTAAGCAACAGCAACCAACCTTTTCTATGGGTGGTTAGACCCGGTTTGATCCACGGAACCGAATGGATCGAGTTTTTACCTAAAGGGTTCATCGAAAACCTCGAGGGTAGGGGTAAAATCGTGAAATGGGCTCCTCAGATGGAGGTTTTAGCACACCGCGCAACAGGCGGATTCTTGACGCATTGTGGATGGAACTCGACGATTGAGAGCATATGTGAAGCTATACCAATGATATGTAAACCTTCTTTTGGAGACCAAAGAGTGAATGCTAGGTACATTAGTGATGTTTGGAAGATCGGTTTGCATTTAGAGAACAAGACTGAGAGAGGAAATATCGAAAAATCGGTTAGAACGCTAATGACGAGCTCGGAAGGAGAAGAGATGCGGAAGAGGATCGTGCCGATGAAAGAAACTGCTGAAAAATGCATTAAGCTTGGAGGTTCTTCACATCGGAATCTTGAAAACTTGATTGCTTATATTTTGTCTTTCTAAAAAAATTGGTGTTTCTTCTACACATCCAAATTTGCTTCTTTTCAAAATTTTATCTGCATTCCCCCAAAATGAGACGCATTCATAAATTGTTCAATAACTTTCATTATAAACTTTACTATTTAGTATTGATCTTTTCAGAGATAATGAATTTTATTATTTTGTATATCAATGTAAACGGTAAACCAAAGGGCATTGGGTTAATGGTTCCATTTAGTATTGGTTTATGTCATGAATCAATTGGTTTAAGTCATGAATCAA